TCCTGGTCTACTACCTTGAAAATTTGTTTAGGAGCAATGTTTTATAAAGGGTCTAATTAGGAATTGGTGGTTTTGGAAAGCTGTCAGTTTTGAAGAAACCTAGAGAAACCTATCAGCTAATGAATCATAACCATTGGCCTCAGGAGCTAAGTAAAGGAAGATTCCATGAACAGTTTTTTCCAGTGGAAAAACTTTTCACAATTGAGAACCACCAAAACAAATCTATTATTGATGATCAGGTGCCTTCCTGGTTGACTACCTTGAAAATTTGTTTAGGAACCATGTTTTGTAAAGGGTTTAATTAGGAGTTGGTGGTTTTGGAAAGCTATCAGTTTTGAAGAAACCTAGAGAAACCTATCAGCTAATGAATCATAATCATTGGCCTCAGAAGGAATTCAAACCCTCATTAAATAGGTGTTCAATATAAAAAAAATTAGGGCCCCCCCAAAAAATTAGCACTCTTTAGGACAACTTTTTCCAACATGGGGTCTGGAATAATTTTGGAAACATTTAGCATTATTGAGGACCGGCTTACCAATCAGCATCCAACATTCAGGAAAAAGGAAAGGTACTAGCGATGGTCCCCAACCCACACCAGGAAGGAAGGTACTGAGATTTGCTGTTGTGTTTAACTGCAGCGTCCTCTGCCACAGGTCAACGAGAAACCATTTGAGGATGTGAAGCATTGTGTGTCGTCATTGACCAAAGGTGGGGAGAGCAAACCACAATGGGAAGCTTTTTGAACGTTGGTGTGTCCAAGCAGGCCACAAGTTGATGAAACATCCAGTCTTGCTTTGACTCATTCTTGCTTGTTTTGACTCATCCGGCTATAGCTGTCTATAGCTGTATAGTGCCTAACCAAGGGCCGACACGTGGCCGTTGCGTTTCGCGCCAGGTGTGGTGAAGTTCGCCCAGGTGGTCGGGGTCTTCCCAGGTCCCCGCTTTGATGATGCTGAGGGGGCCGAGAGTGGGGAAGCCGATGTGGAGCTCTTGGGCTGGGAGGAGACGAATCGAGATCTGGGAGGGAAGATGGAGACCGGACAAATCGCCCAGAATTGAAAGAGAAGCATTGACAAAAAAGAAAAGAATAGAACGGAAAGGGAAAGGAAAAGAACAGAAAGAAAGAAATAAAAAAGTAAAGAAAGAAAGAAAGAAAGAAAGAGATGCTGCATCGACCCAAGTGGAAGATGATCGAACAGGATTGAGCATTGACTTCTGGCGGCTACCGGTTAGGAACATGCAGGAACTAGTAACAGTGGTCCAACACCCCATACCGCATTGTCAATCTAGACATCTCTTTTGCTTTGCTCCAGTGCCTGGTGCTGAAAAACACGAATCGGCCTTATTTAGGGAGCTCAGACTACCAGCGCTTTGATAGGAGAGTGCTGAAACCTTCTCCTTCCGTGTGGATAAAGCTTGGCGCCAGCGATGCTCCCAACGCTTCCGAAACATCCTGGACATGATTGCCAAGAAGGCTCCCAGGGCCTAGAGCGTCTTCCTTGCAGGCTCAAACAACACCTAACTAATAGCAGTGGCATCCAACCTATTAGCCATGGCCTCCTTCTTTTTCAGTCACTACTCGCAACGATGGCAAGAGCTGAGTCACTGCCCAGGCGGACCACAGCGTGCTACGGTTGCTGCAAATCTCACAGCAGCACATCGAGTCACAGCTGGTGCCCAGACAAGAACAAAGACATGCCGCACAAAAATTGATACCGTACTTTTTTGCACTTTGCGTAGGCCGTAATTAAGGGTTGATACCGTACAAATGAATACACTTATGTCACATTGTAGACGATGTTCAGCATTGTGTAGATGAAACGAGCAAGAAAAGCCCAGAGGCAGTCTAAGCGACCCAGCAGCAATCCTCCTGCAATCCTCATGCAATGATATTCCACGACATCTCCGAAGAACTGAGCGTGTCAATCTGAGCACGTGTCACTGCCAGGAGCGCGTCAAACATGAACGCGAACTGTGGAAGGAAGTCGTTGAGCGTCGCCAGCAGCAACCTTTGCAACTGGCCCTGTCCATGAAAGAGTGCCTTGGAGAACAGATGGTACCGTCTCCATCCCTTCTCCTATGAACCTAGTAGCGTCCGATCGCTCCGTTCGTAGCGATGCCCTTTGTTCCTAGTAGCTTCTTGTTCCTAGTAGTAGGGCCAGGAGCCTAGTGGCGTCTACTAGGTGCTTGGTGGTAATTGGGCAAGTTGTTCTGTTAGTCACCCTTTTGTGGAGAGTGTGACTCCTGTTTATACATATATATATATATATTTGCCGTTTGGGCTTCCACCACAGAATTCCAGTTTTTCCCTGTGCTTTTGCAGGTTGCTTTCCCTTTTGAGTTTCCCTGGAGTGGCATCACCTTTTGCATTACCTTTGCAGAATTGTCAGTTTTTCTTTTGTATGTAGTTTTCCTTATTTTTCCCTGAGAGCTGGTCAGACCTTTTTCTTTCTTCCTGTGCTATTTTTCATAATGTTCATTGTTTCACTTCACTGAGTCCGGCAGTGGAGGGAAGTCAGACGGCCAGGGGTCCCTTCCGTGGATGAGTCGCTCGGCAGGGTAAGACATTGGGACCTGATAGGCATTCTTGACACTCCATTGCGAGATTTACTGTATTCAGAGTTCAGCATAGTGTGTCACTCCTCGATGTGTGCCGTGACTCCTCTAGAGGCGCTGGATGTGCGGCCTTCGGCCGTGCAGACTCTGTGCCAAATCCGATTTGCATCAGTTCCGTGCAGATGCACTGCACCTCATACCATGTGCCAGAAGGATGCTCTGTAAATGGATGGACGCTCCAGAAGCGCCAGACATCAAAGGTTTTCCCAGCACCTTCCTGAGCGAAGGGGGGGGGTTTGGAACTTCCTGACGTAAAGCATGACAACAAACACCATATGCCATAGCTAAAGCATGCTGTAGCACTATCGCATGTCCCAAACCCTGAAATCACAATCGCCATGTTTGGCGAGCTTGTGTTTTGAGAACTCTCAGTTTTGGCTCTTCTCGCCAGTCACCTGCTTCAGCTTCCGCTGAGTGACAGAAGCTGGGCGATGAAGGGGCTTGTTATACTGTCAGGGCGGCAGACCAACAGCAAGACAGCACGTTGTGAACGCCTTGCTGTGACATTTTGCAACTTTGCCCTGTGAACGTCCTGCATTTTATAAAATGCGGCAAAGCATGAATTGCCTCTTGGGCTGAAGCCCCTTAAAGGGGCATTGAGGATGATCGTGGGGCTGCAGCAGTTTTTGTAATGTTTTGTCATCGTGTGTGGCATGTTGTCGACGCAATGCTTTTGATACTTTCCTGACATGCTGTCTCTACCGCGATCATGGCAGACAGGGGTCATTCAATAATCATGCTCGTGGCAACAGTCATGGCATGCCAGGTTCCAGTGATTGTGGAGGTTTGACTCTTCGTTTGCGCCTGTGTTTGACCCTCCTTCCAAGGGAAGGCGGGATGAAACAGAAAGGACCAGCTGCACAGCTGGGCAACGGCCGAGAAGGCAACACCTGAAGTTGGCCGGGTTTATGGCCAAAGTGCTGAAGACAAAGTGCTCGCTGATCATCACTTATCGACTTATTTGACCACTGGTTGCTTGCCCCAACGGACACAGCAACACCTTCTTGGCTCCTTCTTCATTGCTCCTTTGAACCACCTAGACTCATCTAGACTAGATCCTAGGCCTAGGGTGTTGAACAATGAGCCTGGGTTGTTCACTACCAGATCCACGATGAAGGTGGGTGTTGACATGGATAGCAACAGTATAGTGATGCGATGGCTTCCCCGGGATAAGTAGGGGCCAAGAAGGATTCGGACCCGAAGATGCCTTCCGTTGTGAGAACTCATCGGACGCTCGAAAGAGCCATGAAAAGACCTAACAGGAGCTGCACTGGCGGAAGTTGTTTGAAAGGAGGGTGTCAGAAAAAGACAGAAACACATGAACACAAGCCTTTTTTCCATGAAGCTACTAGGAACAAGAACGCTACGTTCGGGGCTCCTGGCCTCGCTACTAGTAGCGATCGGACGCTACGTTCGGGGCTCCTGGCCTTACTAGGAGCGATCGGACGCCAGAATTTATCTTTCTCAGTCCTTTCCACTCACTGAGGCTCGACAGTCTCCAATCCTAAGGAAGTGCGCGCAGGATCCGCACGTGATGGAAGGTCTTCCGCACAGGCCTTCACACGTTCAAACCACTGTTCAAACATGTTCAAACCATGTTTTTTTCCATTCCTTTTTCATCTTTTTCTATGTGTTCGTTTTGCAGCTGTGCCTCAACTCCTGGCTTTGGTTCACGGCTGTGTACAAAACACACCACAGGACTTCAGTCCGGCTTCCACCCGTTCAGCGGTGCCCCCTCGCTGCGCGGTGCGTGCCTCGTTGAAAGCGGACCAGGCAGGGCCGTTCGGGGGATCGCAACGTGTGGCATTCCAGAAGCGAATGGAGCAAGGCTCTGTCCTTCCGCTCGTTCTGGGATGGGTGCCCCGTCTTCCGAACTTCAAAAAGGAATCATTGGTACTACTGACCTTGGTGCCCAGTGAATTAAATCAAGCGAGGAGAGCGCTATCTGATTAGAGATGGGACCGCTGCTGGAAGGCTTTCTGTGGTTGGACGTCAGCTCGCAAGCTGTGGACGTTCTGTGGCAGATTGATGCACCTTAACCTGTCAAAGTCCCAATGGCAATGGCAGGTCAAGAGCACGGGCAGCACTTGTTTTACAGTGTTTTGCATCAAGCTAGACCTTTACCATGCATTCTGCTCTTGTGTGAGTCCGGAGAAGGCCGTGTTTTCAACTGTTTGCTGACGGTTCTATACCCTGCCGCGTTTTCCTGTGTCATCGATCACAGGTCTTTGGGTTACTAGTTCTGTTGTGTCCACAAGGAACCGCACAAGTTTGGGGCAATGGGGAAAAGCAATGCCAGCCACATAGGTTGAGCTACAAGCCACCTGAGGCCAATCCTGACATAGTAGTGGATATTGAACATTTAGAATCTAGCAGTGAGACACAAGCACAGTGAAGCACAGTAACAGCAAGAGTTGCAGAAAAGGCATGGAGAGCCTTCCATTCTCAACCTTTGGTCTTCAAAGGGCTTCCTCCAATGCTAGTGGAAGTGGGGTGAGTCGTTTGGTGAGTTCATCCGGTTCGACATGTCAGAGACTTCAGGTGAAAGACAACTTGCAACACGCCCGAGTCCCAGAACCACCGAGAGGGAGGGTCTGTTCCCGTAACGACGGCGCTTGTTGGCGATCACCTTGCCAAGGTGACCAGCTCAAATCAGAAGATAGAAGAAGCTTACCATGATTCATGATACGCATGATCAACGAAAGACAAGAAACTAAAAGGCGAGAGACTGGTCTAAAGATATGCCGTAAAGGAAAAAGTGACAAACAGAAAATAAGAAAGACACATAGAACATCATAGAAACAAATTGCCGAGGTGACCAGGAAACTTGAAGCTCCACATGCTTTAGCCATCATTCCGCTCCAGGTAGGACACAACGCATAGTGTGGAACTTTTTGCTTCAATGGCCTCCAACCTTCTAGCGATGGCCTCCAACCTAGAAGCAATGGCCTCTAACCTTTTCTTTCAATGGCCTGGGCTCAAGCTTGATAGGCTTCAATGCTTGGGGCATGAGCCGATGAACATTGTTTCACCTGCATCCCCGTTCACGCCTGGTGACAAGGCGGCAATGGTGTGGACCCGCAGTGTTCTTGCATGCACTTGCTCAGTAGCCTTATCGGGTCTCTGTTTCACGATGAGACTTACTTGCTCAGTAGCTTGTAATGACGCCTTGTGCCCTCTACCAGAGTAGAGAGTTTACAGCTCCTAATTGAAGCAAGAGTGCCGATCATCCAAGAGACATCGAGAGACACTGAGAGACATCGATCAGGTGGTTGTCTTGGAGGGTCGACACTTCCAAGACTTTGCCGCAGGAGATTCAGGAGTTGTGAATCAGGCCGGGGCTACTAGGAATGGCCTCCACGCTAGTAGCGAGGGCGTTTTCATCCCGCCTTTGGCCGCTTTGACATGCGTTTTGCTTTGACGTCGCAGACTGTCGGAAGCAGCAATCTCCACTTGGGGTCACGCGAATTCAATTGAAAGAACCCTTTTGATTCCCTGTCCACATGTAATCATGGACATAGTGTGGAAATCGATCAAAGATCACTGGCCATAGATAGAACCATGCACCATGGATGTGCAGAAACCATCAAATGCCATGAGAAAAGCGCAATAGATCGCCTACTAACACCACAGATTCGCTACAACCGCGCATCATGGATCACTACGGATCGCGGTTTCCCCGCGACGGCATGAAACATCATGGTACACCTCACCTTTTTTGGTGTTTTTTCGTGGCCTTTCATGATCTTTCATGGTTGATGTTGCTGTCTTGCCCAAGTTCCTTAAGGGTCTTCCACATCGAAGTTGCTTGACGTGTGTCTCTCACGTCAGGTTGACTGCAATGCCAAGACCTGTCAGGCATGGCCAGCTTCTTTATGAATAGTAATGGCCTCCACCCTAGTAGCGATGGCCTCCAACCTCAAACAGTTTCTGTAGTGCAGTCATCAAACAGCTTCAACCCACCAAATCCAGTCGGCACTTCTTCTGTCCAAACCAAAGAAGGTTCGGAGCACGTGCAGCATGGACTAAGACCAAGAAGAAGGAGAGAAGCAGTGAAGCATAGTAAAGCAGTTGCCCGGGTCAAAAGCACGAGCCTGCGTTGGCATTTGCGGTGTCAACCGTTGCTTGCGCATACTTCCGGGGCCGACTCCCGCTACCTTGTTCAGGGCTGCAGCCCCTAGTAGCTTCTTGTTCCTAGCAATAAGGCCAGGAGCTACTAGTAGCGTCCTTGCTCCTAGTAGTAAGGCGAGGAGCCTCTAGTAGCTTCTTGTTCCTAAATGGGGCTGGCATTGACAACAGACAGAGGCCCTGGCTTCCAAGCGTTTGAAGAACCATCACATGCGGATTGAAAGACGTCTTCTCAAGCATTGTTCAGCACGGAGCATGAACCGACAGCTCTGGGGCCGGACCAACATTTTTGCACAAACGGCCAGCTTCCAAAGGCTTGAAGTATCATTGCGGTGTTGAGGTAGCCTCCTCAGCCACTGTTCACCAACAACGCGGAACCACCAGGAATTGACATTGCAGAGAAGCTTGCAAGCCGCAAGCCCCTGTTGGGTTCACCAAGAAGACGAGAAGCGTTGGCAGGCCAAGCAATGCCATGACGGGTAAAGCTTCAGCAACTCGCTGATTGTTCTGCCGCATGAAGGGTGTTAATAGCCGATTAAAGACCGGGCCGCTAATTAGTTGCAACTCGCCGATTCAGGACACCCCAATAATGAACTTAGGACTCATGAGATTGAGTCACTTTCTACACAACATTTGGCGGCAATAGCAACGTGAATTGCAAGCAACCAATTTTCCTCCTGAACCAAATTGAGCCGAACCTCTTTGTGTTCCCAATTTGTTGCCCTTTGTTTTCTCCCTTGTGCTTTCCTGTGTTTGTCATAGGTTTCCTTCTTTCTTGCTCATCTGCTCATTTTTTCGGAAG